GTCCTTCAGAGCTTCTGCAGGAGTTAGCACTAAATAACGGTTCACAAAATAATAACATGTAAGCTTTTGTGGGAAAAGATGTATAATAACCATAAAATCAGCAGAAGTATCTCCCCTTAGATGACCTGTTGTTTAGTATATGATAATCAATATTTGCAAACCCTTTGCCGTGGGGAGGGCCGCCTTCTCACCAGTCAGCTGAGTGAAAGAGCTGAGGACTGTCAGAAGGAGAAAAAAAATAAAACAAAGGAGAAAAACATTGTGATTCAGCAGTTTATAAAAAATAAGACCCAAATAGTATTTAACTGACTGAATGTATAGATGAATGACAGTATCTCCAAGAAGATAAAATTTATATACATGAAATGTAAAATAATAAAATAATGAGATCAGATGCAAAAAAATGTTATCAATTGGATTTCAGAGAAGAGAGAGAATGTCATAAGGAAAAGCTCGGTGAAGGAAGTGACCCATAAGCTGGCCATAAGGAAATGAGTCAGTGTGAGAAAATAACTTCGTGTCTGTGTTAGCCTTCTACTGCTGTTTAACAAATTCCCACAAACCTAGTGGCGTAGAACAGCACACATTATCTCGCCTTTCCACAGCGCAGGAGCCCGAGCACGGTTTGTCTGAATCCTCTGCTCAGTCTTAAAGGCCGAAATCAAGGTGCTGACTCAGCTGTGTTCCTCTCTGGACCTCTTCTAAGCTCACGTGATTGTTGGTAGAATTCAATTCTTTGAAATTGTAGGTTCGAGGTCCCTGTTTTCCTGCTAGCTGCCAGCCCACTACCTTGCACGTTCCTTGCTATGTGGCCCTCTTGCAAAATGGCAGCTTCCTTCTTTAAGGCTAGAAAGAATCTCCCACTTCTCCCACCCTCTTTTAAAGGACTCACTTGGTTAGGTTAGGCCCACCTGGGGGAAAACCTCTCTTTTGATTAACAAAGTCAACAGATTAGGGATCTTAATTATATCTACAAAATCTCTATTTTTGCCATATACCTAACATAATCATGGGAGTGTTATCTCCCCACTTTTGCCATATTCTGACTACAAGGACATTGCAGCCCCTGCCCACCCTCGAGGGTATTATCCAAGAGCGTGGGTCACTGGGGTCGCCTCAGAACCCGCCCACTGCAGTGCCTTCTTTTGTAAATGATTCTTTTTGTTGTTCGAACATGTTTTAAAAGTAAAGGTTTTTAAAAGATTGATTTTAAGAAAATGGGCCCTGGGTGTCAGATGCCTGGCTAAGGAAATAACTTCTATGAACTTGGAGCTTTTATTTACTTTTACTTAGGGGACCAGCTGTATGCAGTTATTAAGGGAGTGGAAGGGAGTCGGTTATAATTAGAGAAACCCAACTCATCACTTTGATATACTGCCAGAGCTTCCTAACTGGCCTCTTGATGGCTGGTCTTTACTCTCTCCCATCTGCCTCTACTTGCAGTCAAGGTAATCTTTCCAAAATGCACGTCCAATCATGTCACTAACCTGCTTAAAATACTTTCGCTGACTATAAGATGGAACCCAAGGTCTCTAGCCTCCTAGGAAAGGAATGATGCCATTCTCCTTCATACCCCAACAAGGGCTTCGCGTGCCCTTCATTCACACTCAACTGAGATAGTGACAGTAGGGCCTAAGAGGAGGGGATGGATTTGAGACACTCTGAGCAGGTAGAATTACCAGGAGATGATGAGGGAAGACAAGCCTGTTTCACACATGGAAATAAGGAGAACAGGTGCAGAAGCAGATGTGGGAGAGAAGATGAGTTCAGTGGAGGTCACTGTAGAACATCACACCCAAGGATTTCCTGCTGGTTGGTGTTCTACTGGGAACTGTGGGGTTTATAAAAGGAGTGCTAAGCATGACCTCTATAGGGATGAGAACGTATGTGGCCTTGGGAAATTATGGATTCACCAGAAGAGGGGCAATAGAATAATTATCACTGGTAGCAGATTACAGAGGTGGAATAGTAAAGATGTCAGTTAATAGCTGAGTGGAATTTTCCCCACTCCATGAAGTAACCAATAAAAACAATGACAGATAAAACATTGCTTTTCATTGTTTCTGTGGCTTAAATGTTTAGACAACAGGAGACATTTTTAGGATGTAATTTGGGGTGTCCAAAGAAAATATCAGGAAGAGAGATTTCAAATTCATCCTGGTTTTCTCTAATCAACTTTGTCTTTCCAACTATCTTTTGTCATTTGACCATATACAATCAGGTTAAGAATCTTGAAGGTCTTTTGTCCTTTTTTCGGAATGCAGGGAAGTAGGTCAGTTTTTCTTTTGCTGCTTTGTGTTTCTTCTGGAGTCCAGTTTCTTCTGGAGAGCATTGGGCCAAAAATCTTTAAGCTGCCTAGTCTGCTTTCCTAATATGGGACATGTTCTAGGTAGAATAAACAAAATGTAATGCTGCTTTCCTTCTTGATGGAAGATGGATTCTAATTTCCATTTATCTCTTTTCCTATGTAACAAAGTAGTAGCCACCGTATCAATATCCAGGCAGTTTCCAGCTCATGAAAGTCATTGTGATTCCTCCTTTGGTCACCTAAATGTTACCGTTCCTTTGGAGCCTGCAGGCTAGTGCCAGTGTTGCTGTGGCAGCGACTCATGGAATTCACGTGGCTGCTTGCTGTGGTTGGTGTGACTCCCTGCTGGTGCCAACACTGCACCCTACAAAGTGTGCCCTGCTGGCTTGGCTTCTCACTGAGAGGCACCTCTGCCAGCCTATGTCAACTTTGCTACCTACAAAGCACTTTCCCACTGGGCACACAAAGACTCTTGTTGAAAGCTGTCTATACCCCTTTATTAACTGCTGAAGAAGTTCTAGCCCATTTCAAAGCCCCATAACTTCTGGGAAGGAGTTTCTAAAGCCCTTCCAAAGGGCCAAAAGGTAGAAAGAGGTACTGATACTGATGTGCTGTACCTTCCCTGGTAAAGCCTGCAAACCTCTCAGCTTTTCAGGTACTTGGTCATCTCATAAATTGGGCACTAATGCACAGGATTTCCCTCCTACCTAGGAAGCAGAGTCCAAGCCCTTTCAGCAGAGATTGGTTGGGAGGCTAGCTGAGGTTGTAGGCATATTCTTTGCGTCTTGTTTTCTTGGGCTTGAAAGTATGATGAGGGCAGGTGAAATGCCTCTGAACAAAATTCATGAAAACATGTATCTTAGGTCTTCCCAAAAGTGACAGGTCATCTATCTATGTCCTCCAAAAATGTTCATCCATTATGGTGAGATCTGTCTTCCTCTGACAGTGTCCCAAGTTCCTTGGAAACATGGCACGTCCAGTCCTGACCTTGGTGTTAGTTTAGGTGATGCTAGGTGATGCTGTGGTAATCCCTGCCCTGCCCCGTCCCCCACCAAATCTCAATAGCTTCACACAATGGAGGTTTATTTGTCACTTACACAAAGTCTCTATCTTGTGGCTATAGCATCTGAAACATATGCCTTCTGTATTAGTTTCCTAGTGCTGCCCAAACAAGATACCACAAACTAAGTGGTTTAAAACAGAGATTTATTGGTTCTGGAGGCCAGAAATCTGAAGTCAACAGGGCCATGTTCTCCCAAAGGCTCTAGGGCAAGATCCTTCCTTGCCTCTTTCTAGCTTATGGTGGTTGTCAACAATCCTTGGCATTCCTGGGCTTGTAAATGCACC